AGAAATCAAAATGAAATACTGGAAATGAAGAATTCAATAGAACAAATAAAAAATGCAGTGGAAAGCCTTAACAACAGACTCGGTGAGGCAGAAGAAAGAATATCTGAGTTAGAAAACAAATCTTGGGAAATTTTACAATCAGACCAAAAAAAAAAAAATTAGAACAAAAAAAAAAAGTGTTGGAGATTTCTGGGATACTATCAAATGACCCAACATATGGGTCTTAGGAGTTCCTGAAGGCACAGAAAGAAAGAATGGATTAGAAGGCCTTTTTAGTAAAATAATTACAGAAATCTTCCCTAATTTGGAGAAAGAAAGGGATGTCCAAGTACAGGAAGCACATAGAACTCCTAACAGATGTGACCAGAAAAGATACTCATCACGACATACTGTAGTCACACTCTCCACAGTAAAACATAAAGAAAAGATTCTAAAATATGCACAGGAGAAACACCAGATTACTTTCAGAGGATCTGCAATTAGACTCACAGCTGACTTCTCAGAAGAAACTCTACAGGCTAGGAGAGAATGCAGATACATAGTCCAAGTCTTCAGAGAAACAAACTGTCAACCCAGAATACTGTACCCTGCAAAGCTCTCATTTATGAATGAAGGTGAAATAAATACCTTCCATAACAAACAGAAATTAAAAGAATTTGTCACCACTCATCCAGCCTTACAAAAGATGCTTAAGGATGTGCTACACACAGAAACATGGTCATCACTATGAAAGAAGGTGAATGCAGAAAATCTCCCAGTGAAAGTGCAAAGGAAATCCAGAGTAAGCAATAGAAGCATTTATGAAAAAACAGCAGGGAAATTGACCTCGCTCTGGTTTTTCTTGTGTAGTTCCTGAGGTTGCAGAATATCCTGTTACTGGGAACCTACCCACATATTAAGACAATCTCTCTTCAAATCTTTTTAAAAAGAAGACATAGATTATATTAGACCATCTTGCTTTTCCCTTCTCGTTTTACATACCATTTGTGTGATTACAGTGTTAAGTCTTAGTGCTTATGTCTTTGGGCAAAAGAGTGCATCAGCTATTTTAAATGAATTTTCCCTGTCTTTGAAGCTCAGTCTCTGTGTTGTTGCCATAAAAGAAAATGCCTGGGTTTGCATTACTTGAATACTTGAAAACTGAAAGTGATAAGATATATTATGTAATGAATTAGGTTTTTATTTCTGGATAAAATTAGAAATGTAATAAAAATTTGAACTACTTAAAGGATGAAAATAATGATAGCATTTATAAGCGCTGTGAACCCTTTTGTGTTTGAGGCATCCAAAAGTCAAGTGTTTACTAGATTTTTTTGCCTGAAATCCTGCTCTTCTTTTCTGTGCTTCATGCATTTGCTCTTTTTTTTTAAGATTTATTTATTTATTTATTTGAAAGGCAGTGTTACAGAAAGGCAGAAGAAAAGTCAGAGAGAGAGAGAGAGAGAGAAAGTCAGTCTTCCACCCCCTGGTTCACTCCTCAGTTGGCTGCAACAGCCAGAGCTGAGCTGATCCAAAGCCAGGAGCCAGGAGCTTCTTCTGGGTCTCCCATGTGGGTGCAGGGGCCCAAGGACTTGGGCCATCTTTTACTGCTGTCCGAGGCCATAGCAGAGAGCTGGATTGGAAGTGGAGCAGCCAGTACTCGAACTGGCACTCATATGGGATGCTGGCACTGAAGGCACTGGCTTTACCTGCTATGCCACAGTGCCAGCCCCTCATCCATTACTCTTATTATTGACATTGTAAAATAGCAGGGTTCAAGTGTCATTATATCTGTGTTCTTTATGAATCCCATAGATTTTCTAGTTAAGGAAAAAATAGTCTCAAAAATACTTTTTGTGTCATTTTTTTGGTTAATATTTTACTCACTAATGGTATTTTAGATACCTTTAATCATTTTAATAAGGTGTTGGGGCTGGCACTGTGGCATAGCGGGTTAAAGCCCTGGCCTGAAGCGCCAGCATCCCATATGGGCATCAGTTCTAATCCTGGCTGCTCCTCTTCTGATCCAGCCCTCTGCTATGGCCTGGGACAGCAGTAAAAGATGGTCCAAGTCATTGGGCCCCTGTACCCACATGGGTGACCCGGAGGAAGGTCCTGGCTCCTGGCTTCAGATTGGTGCAACTCCAGCCGTTGCGGCCATCTGGGGAGTGAACCAGCGGATGGAAGACCTCTCTCTCTCTGTCTCTACCTCTCTCTGTCTTTCAAATAAATAAAATAAATCTTTAAAAAATAAGGTGTCTATAAAAATTTAAAACATTACATATTGTATTTGAACTAATTAGTGAAGAGCAAGGAAAAAAACTAGCTTACTGAGACTGTAGATGTTCTATTAGTTAAATTTCAAAATGTTTAATAAAAGAGTTTTCGGAGATAGGTTGAACCCCAATGGTATCCATTAAACTAGCTCCTAGGACATGGAAAGCAGTGGAGGACATGTGAGGGCATTTACTTGCCGTGGCTGTGGTTGTAGTGTGCTCATACTTAAATACAGGTAGTGACACACCGACATTTTTGTTGCCCAATACTCTGAAATAGTGTCCTGCACTTATCTGTACTAAAGTAACTAAAGAAACTGTATGATTGTACTGTATTTGGGAGCCTTTGTACAGCTAGGTAAAATTTCCATGGTACAAAGTATTTGGATGTTAAAATTTATATTATAAGGAAAAAGACATGGTATTATTCCATGTGCTTAAATGATAACTTGCTTATTGAGTTTCAAAAGAAAAAATATGAAATGACTAATTGCCACTGCATTAGCTATAATGTTAAATTGGCAAGTTGTAGCATAAAGCTTAAATCTGTGTTTCTCAAATGTGAACCATAGTAGTCTAATGCTGCTTTGTATATTGTAAATGCTACAAATAGTCTCAGCACTGAAGATGTGTTGATACCTCTCAAATGAATGCAACCTTTGATGTAGGTGTTTTGATATGTCTCAGAAAGTATCTATATCTGAAAATTTGTTAATCTGTTTGGTAATGAAGATACTTCTCTTCTTTTGTTGTTGTTCCATATTTTCTTGTTTAAATTGAATTTTTACATTTTTACTACTGTTAAGTTCAGTTTGTTCAATGGTTAAAATGGGGTTGTCAGTAAATTGCTTTTTGTTGTCATGTAATTGCTTAAGTAAAAACTACATTTTGCGTTCTGTGCTTATACACTTTTAATGATCTGCATTTCTGTTTAAATGTAAGTGATGATGTTTAGCTTTGGTTTCTGTTTAATAAGGTTTTTTACCATTGATTAAATGAATGAATGCATCTTTTTAAAGAGATTTATATTCTATAGATAAAAATTGTTTGAAACAAAGAAAAAAGAAAATATTCATTGTTTCCAAAAGGTTAGTCCCAGTGGTCATGGTGGTCAGGTGATAAACACAGGCTATTATTCTATTTCTCTACAGCAACATGAGGCTTTTGGAGAAAAATTTCCATCTTTCTTATTCCTTAAATATAGTTTGAGCTCCTACCAAGTGCACAGCAGTGAAGAAATCAACCATAAATTCTTGTCTGGAGTGGTGGAGAGGGGAGGTAGATGACAAACTAAATAAAAAAGTTTTGTAGTATACCAGAAAGTGTCAAGTGTTCTGGAGAGAAATGCATAGGGCATTGCGGATAAAGAGTATGGCATGAAGCAGGGGACAAGTTTTAAAAGCTTGGTCATGGAAGGCTTCCCTGGGAAGTGAGGTTTGAGAAAAGACCCAAAAGAGCTAAGGCAGGGGCAATGCGGGTAAAGCCACCGCCTGCAGTGCCAGCATCCCATACAGGCACCGGTTTGAGTTCTGGCCGCTCCACTTCTAATTCAGCTCTCTGCTATGGCCTAGGAAAGTAGCAGTGGATGGCCCAAGACCTTGGTCCCCTGCACCTACGTGGGAGACCTGGAAGAAGCTCCTGGCTCCTGGCATTGGATCAGCCCAATTCCGGCTATTGTGGCCTTTTGAGAAGTAAACCAGTGGGGATGGAAGACCTCTCTCTCTCTGCCTCTCCATCTCTTTCTGTATTACTCTGACTTTCAAATAATTAAATCTTAAAACAAAACAAAACAACAGAAAAAAAAAGAGCAAAGGCATTAAACCAGATATCTGGAGGAAAAGCAATGCAGGCAGGAGGAACAGCATGAGAGGCCAGTGCAAAGCTGTGTTAATGTCAGCAATTTAAGGAGGATGAGAATAAAAAGGAATGGGTAGAGAGGAGATGGAAGAAGAGGCAGATCATAAATGAACTTTGCTTTTCATTGGAATGACATCAGTTTTACACAAAACTTGGAAACACCTAGTGAAGTCTTTTGTGAGAATTAGTCATTGAATGGGAATTGTTCATCATCTGCATGTCATTATACACAGAGGTGTTGCAGAGCTTTGATAATAGTTTTCTGCAAGCCAGTAAACATTTCCTTTGTAATCTTACAATTTTGGCTTCTTCCATTACCATGTTTAACAGATCATTTTTTCATAATGTAAATGAACATTTAAATTGAACTCCACTTCCAAATTATCGAAATTTACTAACTATAATCTGAATCAAAAGTTTAAATTTTTCCTTATTATTTATTTGAGAGAGAGAGAGAGAGATCTTCCATCCTCTAGGTTCCTTTACCAAATGACCACAAGTGGCTAAAGTCAGGTCAGTGCAGGTCTCCTATGTGAGTGGCTTGAGTGATCACCTGCTGCCTCCCAGGGTGCACAGTAACAGGAAGCTGGAAGCAGGAGCAAAGCTGAGACTCAAACCGAGACTCTCCGGTATGGGATGCAGGCATACCAAGTCGTATCTCAACTGCTGCGCCAAACACCTGCCAAGAGTTTTTATTCTTACATAAAGCATGAAATGAAATGGTTTATATGTTGAAATAAGATTTTAAGGATATGGCTTTAACATAATGAGACTAATTCTACAGGGCATCATGAAATTTACAAAATACAAATTAGGATGTTTTATAATGTTTGCATATTATTTCAGATATGTGGATTAACATAAATTTCATTTTTTTCTCTCTTACAGGCAAATATACATGCAAGAGTAAGTACCTTTTTAAATTTACACTTTATAATTGCACATATTTATGGGATAAAATCTGATTTTTAATACATGCATATTTTGTATATTGATCATATCCAGGTAGTTAGAGGTGATGTATATAGTAAGTATCCCCCTTTTTACTAAAAGAAATCAAGCATAAAATTCATGAGGAAAAGTGCTGAATAGTCTTGTCTAATGGAATTTTTAGTTTTTATAATTAACTGATTTTAATAAATCAATAAATATTGTGAATGCATTTACAACAGACATAATTGGTGCATCAGATTTCACTGTTACCACATTTCCGATTTGCCTGAGATGGCCTCATATCTTAAATTACCACATGTTTTTTATTGAAATTTTTAGAGAAATACTGATATATAGTTTACTTACATTTGTTGGTGCTAAGAACTCTTCAGGAATGGGAATTGTCCATGTGCTTAGGAATCTTTTAATGTGTCCAAAAAACATTTCTTCCTAAGCATACTAGTTTAAAAAGCCAGAGATTAGTACATAATACTTTTTAAGATTTCATAGATAATAGATAACAAAATATTTCCTTATGCATTATAGTAAAATATTGAGTTTTCTCTAACTTGGATCCTTATATTATTTATGAAGCAAAAGTCATGCATGCATAGTACAGAAGTGAAATATTAATGATAAATAGTTGGCCACTAGGTAGAAATTGTTTTGTAAAACAATATACATGCAGACTCTGGAAGATAGCCACTTTTCTAAGAGAAAAGTATTCCTTGCCTGTTTACTGCTGAAAGAACAAACAAACTAAAATTTATGAGGACTTCGAAAAGCATGTGTTTGGCTTAGCACGGGCAGCACCAAAGATTCTGAGTTCATAGGGGCTGTGTGCATGCATGTGTGTTTTAAACTCTTGAGAGTTTACATCAAAGAGGATAAAGTTTACAAAACAGAAATTATATTAATGTAAGCCAGAAATACCTGTCAGTCATGCTTGGTGCAGAGCTACCTTGAGAAAAGACAGCATTCAAAGGTGAGGTGGAGGAAGTAGGTTTTATGCAGGAGACACAAGACATAGGCCAGGTTGAGAAGTTGATTTTTGGGATATCAAACAGGCACTCAGTTCTCTCACTCTATAAATCTTTTCTTTCAAAAGTAAAAACAGGCCATGGGATAAATAGATATGAGTACATTTGTTTTGTGAGGTGCAGGAGCGTTTTTGGGCCTATCCACACACCACAGCCTTCCCAGCTGCTCTCAGTGATAGTTGATGGGGGTTAGGAAAAGAATTGCCTCAGCACAAAGCCTGTGCCCCTGACATTGTGCCAAGGACTGGTGTTTCACATGGCTGGGTGGCTGGAGAAGAACTCCATATGCTATGAATTCTGCTATGTTTTTCCCTGTAAGGCATAGGTCTTTAACAAAAACAAACAATAAAGAGAGGGGAAAGAGAGACAGAGATTGAGAGGAAAGGGAGAGAAATTTTGAGTGCAGTTAGCATGCACAGATTCCTACTGACAGAGTATTTTAAACAAACAGTACACTGTATTGAAATGCTGGCTTTAAAAATGGCCCTTGCTCTCCCACTGTGTGGGAGTTAGCCCCTCTAGTCTGTTCTATACATCAAGAACTAAAAAGAGGAAGGGCAATCACAGCATGTGGCTGGAGGGACATCAAAGCCACATTTGCCATGAGTTATTTTCCTTCCTGTTCCTTTCTCTTGGGTCCTGAAGCACACATGCTGCTACAGAAAGGGGTAAAAGGCAATGTCAAGAGCTGCGTAATTGTTGGGAGCTTTAGTGGTTAAGGCCGGGAATGTTGCAATCAAGATTGCATTTAAGAGATGTGGGTTTTTAAAGGGCATCCAAAAAAATCTCTTACTTACAGTTACTGAAAATTGACTGTGTGTGTGTTACAATCTACATTTTAAGCTATACAAAGAAAGCTGAAGATAACACCTAAAATATTTACTTTGAATTACCTTTTGCAAACATCAAAAACCGAATGCGTGACAAGAACCAGAGGATCACCCACTAAAGAGTGATACAGGTGATACAAGTCCCACATTCTAAATCGAGAGAAAGATGCCTATTAGAAATTTATCCCCAGAAATGCAGTGTTTTGTTATTTTCACGTTTTTTTCCTCTTTTCTATTTGTGTTCCCTGTCTAGCCAGCTATGCTTACTTCTGGACTTCACAGCTCCTATTAATCTGTAAATCTTATAGATTATTTTCTCTTTTCCTTGTACTTTTAAAATTATTAAAGAAATGCTATAAAATAAAAATGAAGATGGGAAATATAATTGGTAGTTATATTCCCGAGTTCACCATTGTAACATCACAGTATCTCTGAATCCATTGCAGTTTTTTCTTTACACACACACCTATTAAAAACATAAGCCACTATAGAATCACCATATATTTCCTTCCTATATCAATTTCTTATTGATGTGGGCAAGGGGAATATGAATTTTCCTAAAAGATTTTATCATGCACAAAGACACACATTCTAAGTGCTGACACAAATAAGGTACCCAAAGTGATAACATTTATTTTAAAGGTGAGAGAGTGAGCACACACACACATGCCTCACACAGAAATATCTGTCATGAGTGGGCCATGGGCCAGGAGATTGCCCCAAAGGAAAAGGGGTTGGGAGAGAAGAAGCAGAGAGAACACCTGGCAGCCCCTCCAGCCATGGTCTGCAGCCAAAGAGAGGGTCCCTCCAACTGTTGGTCTCCTTTTTGAAGTTGCAGTGGTGCCTCTCCAGGTGTGAAGCCACTTGGAAATTATATGGCACCTCGACAGAGAGACAGGTCTTCCATCCACTGTTTCACTCCTTAAATGGCCACAATGGCGGAAGCTGGGCCAATCCAAAGCCAGGAATCAGGAGCTACTTCCGTGTCTCCCATGTGGGTGAAGGGGCCCAAGGAGTTGGGCCATCTTCCACTGTTTTTCCAGGCCACTAACAGAAAGCTGGATCCGAAGAGGAGCAGCTGAGACATGAACTGGTGCCCACATGGGATGCTGCTAAAACAAAGCCAGTTCTGTGTACTTGACTTTCTAACATCTCAACAATAATTTGTAATGATATTAGTGTACTATTTATGGCATTAAATACTGCCAAAATGGTTGGTTTTGTAGTATAGGTCTTTAAGCCACTGCATACAATGTTGGCATATATCAGAGTGTCCCTCTGCCACCCACAAGGAAGACCCAGATGGAGTTTATGGCTCCTAGATTTGGCATGGCCCAGACTTGGCTATTGTGGCCATTTGGGGAATGAACCAGCGGGAGGAAGATCTCTGTCTCTCTTTCTACCAATCTCTCTCTCACTCTGACCTCCAAGTAAGTAAACAAATGTTTAAAATAAATATTTGCCAAAGTACTTATGTTTAGACAGAAGATGAAACAGAATTATAAATTAATAATTACTATAGTCTTTAGCCAAATATGTATGGGAAATTTTTACACTTTTGGTTACTTATGGCAGGAGAGGTAGGTGATAGCTGGTTTCTTGGCTGAGAAGATTTACGCTGCACATAGCATTCTTCTGCCTCACACGGTTATGAGACCTGAGTCTAACTGAGTGAACTTTTAGACTGAATGCCAAGAGTATGGTTACCGTGTGACACATCCTGTATATTTTCTACCACGTTGCTTGTTAGTGTGGTTCATCTGAACCACAGAACATCATTCATTGCTCATCACTCAAACAACTAACCATAGTGTGTGTCTGAAGACAACAGTGGGAGAGTTCTCAATTTTGAAACTTGTTAAAGACTTGCACTTATAATGCTTTAAAGAGAAATGATAATCATTTATAATTGTTGCTATTTGAAATATCAAAGGGAATAAAGCTTTTATGCTAAACAGTGATAGAAAAAAAATAGTGATGATTTGGACACTACTAAGAGTCTAGGTGGATTTTGTGACTTAATCTAGATAAGGGATAAAGGGGGGCAGCTCAAAAATACATCACAATTTTATACTTGAATACATCTGAATTTTGTTTTTTGTAATTAAAAATTAACATATACCATATTAATAAACATCTTGCTAATGCTTGTTTTTCTTTGAAATGTTTTCCTTTATTTATATTTTGATAGAACTTTGGGTGATTTTATCAAAGATAAAGTAAATTAATATTTCATATTAAAAACCAGAAGAAATTCTAAATCTGAATATATTAATATGTATATAATATGGTTTCCTTTAATCAAGTTAATATCTTCCATTTCCCTGACTTGTTTCTACTTAAGTGTCTAAACTATTATATTCTTGAAAAAATTCTGCGTAAAATACACAAAGATATGATATCTTTGATATTCAAATTTTCTGCTACAGTCAGAAAATAGTTTTTGACTTAATTTTAGTATTCATGTTATATTTACATTTTTAAAGCCGCTTCACTCAGTCCTCTTAGAAATCAGTTAGCAGTCATTCTCTCTCTACCACTCTGCTCTTTTCTCCCCCCTCTTTCCTCTATGTCACCATCTCTCCTTACCTCAAACCTTTCTATCCTTGACTTGGTGCAAATGAGTAGGAAGTCCACAATACAACATATTGATGCAACTTTTTACTCCCTTGCAAACCTTCATTTATTCTGATTTACCTCCAAAACAATGTTGTCTTTTGATTTGCTTCTGTATTTGTGGGTATTATGCTACCCTCATTGTGTCAGCATATAAATAATATTCCTCAGTCATTTATTTAGAAACATTATGCAATTTTTGGAAAAAATGCTAAAATAAAAACATATTATGGAAAATCTGAGACCTATATAATTTCTTAGTTTACAAATATGCATTCAAAGAAAATATTATATCATGGTGGAGATAGAATGATGATAGATAAATCAATTCTAAACTAGCAAAAAGATAACCAAGACAGTTCCAGAGAGGGATAAGTACTATGGTACAAACAAAATAGAGGAGATGTATAGTAACCAGTGTGTACATGTGTGTGCACATGAGTGTGTATTTGTGTGCCTGCACATATGTGTGCGTGTATGTATGATAAACATACATACAGTTCTTCATTTATCAAGTCCTTCAGTTCTTCATTTATCAAGTTCTTCAGTTCTTCATTTATCAAGATAAATTTTATGGTCTTTAAGTTGCCTTCAGACCTAATGATGCAAGTTTTAAAATTTTGTTCCACATTTAGCTCTTTTTTACTATTCTAATTATGTGGTCTATTATCTATCCATATTAGATTCTAAAAATAATTGAAATATGAAAAAACTCCCTATCAAAATTTGAAAACAATATCCGTACTTCTTAACCATAGTGTCGCTTTATTTGACTTTGCATAAAGAGGTTTTTGGAAAACACTACTTTCTGGATGACAGATCAAGGGCCATAGGCTGAGCAATAACATGACCAAGCTTGTATCCTTTGCCCTCCTGTGAACTGCCTGCACAGAAGCATGGGTGCTCCATTTAGTATCATCATTTGAAAGTCCTCTGTCTAACAATGCCACATAAGAAGTCATTGTGTGAGAACAATCATTAGTGATTATAACAACGATTACAGAATTAATTGCAGTTATCTACGTCTCTTTGCGTAACTGTGGTGAAACCTCTGAAACATTGTAAATGCAACTTCTCAATTTGGTGAAAGAGAGAGCAATTCTTTGAGTCTACTTTGCAAGTCATTTGTTTAGATTTTTAAATTATGAATCAATTTTTCTCACTAATAATCACAAAAACGCCATTAGGAAAATTTGTTTTCTTAATTGTCAAGGGAAAACAGATTCTGAAATAGTTTCACACTATATTACAAAGCATGATATGGAAAATGGGCAAACATCATGCTTTAAGTTGCTCTTGGCAGAGAGGTCTACACTTTTGTCTTCTGTCAGGTTTCAGTTGAGTAGTAGGATCTATCAGTCTTGCTTCTTCCTATCATCATTTGTTTGTGCTTTCATTTAGAAAGTTTGTGTAGTCACATGGAAAAATTAAAGGAGAAAATAGTTCTAGCAGTTATAATTTTTAAAAATCACAGAAATGAAAAGGAGTTAATAAATGTTTGCGACACTGATATGATTTCTCTCTATTGTAGAGGCAAACCCAACTTACTGGACATGGGCTCTTTGATGATCAAACCAATTCAGCGTGTGATGAAGTACCCCCTATTACTGTGTGAACTTCGGAATTCTACCCCTCCTTGCCACCCAGATTACAGCGCACTGGGGGATGCCTTTGCTGCTGTGAAGGACATTAATGTTAACATCAATGAACTGAAAAGAAGGAAAGATTTAGGTAGGAACAGACACAATGGATGGGATGTTCCCACGATTGGAGAGTTCTGTGTATACCGCTGAGAATAAGACTGTCAGAGGAGTCGTGGCAGCTGCAGTGAACACGATTATTTAAAATCTGAAGTTGTGACCGAGGAGGAGAGTGTGGTTTTGCCTTGCTGGCTGGGGAGAAGATTATGAGGCTCACAAAACTGACAATTTGATTTTACCAAACAGCAGTATGCTTAACCTCATTCGGCCACTGCACACTGGGTGATGTACTGTGGCCTGACTACACACCACAGCATGTGGTCCTCCTGTCATCTGTGGTCTGTGTGGTGACAGGGAGACACGGCCAGGTAACCACAATAGGAAGTAGCATGGAAAATGCTGGGCAAAGGGCAGATCCAGGTGAGGTGGCCTTTCATTTGGAGACTGTATTGGCAATTATTGCTCTACTAATGGGAGCGGATCTATTTCTTTCTAGAATTATCAAATTATTGTTAACTATGTGTAAACTAAATTATACAATTAACATATAATGTAAAATATAGATTTCAAAAAAATGGAGACAATTACATGGTTCCTAAATGTTCCAGAGGACTATGTCACTAAATAATTTATTTGGATAGACCATAGGACCTTCCTCAAGCTGATTTATATCCATAAAGTTTTTCATTGGCTTTGTCCTCCTAATATTAAATCTCAATTTGACATCAAAGCAATGGCAGAACTTTAGAGCTAACCAGTCCAACCTTCATTTATTTTTATTTTTCATTTCTAATATTTATTCAAAAGTAATGTATTTGTATTAATAAACTTATGAAGAAGGACACAGAGCAATTAGTAAAGGCTATAGAGTAAAAGACACCATGAACAAAGTGAGAAGACAGCACATGAAGTATTACTTCTAGAATATATAATTGTTGATATTAAATCAATAATAAAAGATATTCTAATATGAAAAAGGTTTATAGTAAATAAGCAAGTCACAGAAAGATAAAAAAAAACTATAAAATGCTAAGCTCCATTAGTATTTGGAGAAATGCTAATTCAAATAACCATGATAGACGATACCCAGTCCATTGGATTGGCAAAAAAACTTACTGGATAATGCTAAGTGCTGTCCTTTAGTCCGTAGAGGAGGATATGAATTGGAATTGCTGTTTTAGAGAACAGTTTGGAAAAATCTAGTAAGGAGGCACACACCGGGCAGAGAGAAAGTCAGTTTTTAGGGATTTGCTCTAGAGAAGCTTGCCCATGTGATCAAAGAGATATGTTCTAGTAATTAGTATTTTTTTTTTTTTTTGACAGACAGAGTGGACAGTGAGAGAGAGAGAGAGAAACAGAGAGAAAGGTCTTCCTTTGCCGTTGGTTCACCCTCCAATGGCCGCCGCAGCCGGTGCACTGTGGCCGGCGCCCCGCGCTGATCCGATGGCAGGAGCCAGAATCCAGGTGCTTTTCCTGGTCTCCCATGGGGTGCAGGGCCCAAGCACTTGGGCCATCCTCCACTGCACTCCCTGGCCACAGCAGAGAGCTGGCCTGGAAGGGGGGCAACCGGGACAGAATCTGGCGCCCTGACCGGGACTAGAACCAGGTGTGCCGGCGCCGCAGGCGGAGGATTAGCCTAGTGAGCCGCGGCACTGGCCGTAATTAGTATTTTTTATAAAACAAAAGAGATTACATATTTGTCCAGATAATAGATAGTCTATTATATGGTATGATATCATAGGTAGATAAAAATTAATAAAAGTACATATATCAATAGAAAAAATATACCCTTGAGTTTAGAAAGAAGGTAAATTAGCAAGTTAGAAAATATGTGTAATACTTTATTTTTAGAAGACTTGAATCACTTCTTGGCCTTTTGGCTAAGATCAAGTATAGAAGATTTGAAAAAATTCAAAGTAATACTATGTATTATATGAATCCAAGCAGACATAGTAAAGGCAGAGAGATAGATACAAATATAACAGACCCTATTATTTAGGATCAAAATTTCCTTTAGGGATCAAAGATGGAGATCAGGACATCTTCAACTGTTACACAATTTTTTTTTAAAGAAAAAGGAACGTAAACTGTTAAAGAGTTGACAAAGCTAGGTGAATCATGATTGCTATAGTATTTACACTTTTTTGTTTGCTTAAATTGTTTTAAAGAGTAAAATGGTCCAATTCCCATGACTCCAGTATTCCAGTGTACATAGCTAACATATCATGTTGCTTTCAAACTCTTTTTTTCCCACTGTGCCTCTCTCTGTGTCTGCTCCCTACATTACCACCATTTCTTCTTTCCTTCCTTTCAGCCATATGTATGGTACTAGAGTATTTTTCAAATCTAATTATGTATCATGAACGTTCTAGTGATTAATATTGCCTTCATTTTACTGATTCCTAGTATTTATGAATGTACCATAATTTATTAAATCATTCTTCTACGAATAAATTTTTCTATTGCTTTCAATACCTTGCTGCTAAAAAAAACAGTGATGTAAGCTGTTTAGTAGTCTTGATTATGGGAAGCAGATTTCTCTGCATGAACTATCTGGTCATGGACTAATAACATTCTCATTTTTGTTAGATTCTGACAACATGTTCTTCACAAAATCTGTGTGAGTTTAATCCTTATCAATGGTGCAACAGATGGTCATTGTGTACAGTTATCTTTTCATTGTTAGTTGTCTCAACATTGGATGCAGTTGTCTTTTCATTGTTAGTTGGGTCCTGATTTCCTACTCCAGAGACCCCAGATAATAGATACGATTATATGTGAGAAGAGAAGCAGAGCATTTCTCCTAGTATCAGGGATTTCTTTAATATGAGAGGTAAATGAATCTTGGACTTTGAGGAGCTCATGCTTTTGAACAGCGGTCTGACGGTCAGCGGGGTCATAGTGTGTAGGCCATGAATAGATAGTGGGGTTGGAGCAAGTAGCATCTGCAGAGAAGGGTCAAGAGTCATGTAGATATATATGAATCTCGAATATAAATATTGACCTTGAAAACATTGGGAGAAGTGCACACTTCCTATGCTGCACATTTTAAACATGTTACTGCATTCTTCCTTTTCAGTTCTAAAATATAAGAAGAATGATGAGGATGAATCACTTAAAGACAAACTGTCTAAACTAAATATTCATTCAATTAGCAAGAAATCAAAACGAATGACAAATCATCTAAAGATTCTGACCAGAGGAGAATCGCAGGTAATTTTTCTTCTTGGGCCACATACTTGCACGTTTTCCTGGGGAACGTGAACACTTATATTTTTATGAGGTTTTGTTTTCTTATTATGACAACTTCTAGAGAATCACTGATAATCAAGGTAATTGATGTCTGTTCTTCTCTTCTTGTCATGTCTCCGCCCCGGGAGTAACAGCGGGGGTGGTACCGACACGGTCTTTGCTGTAGCGTTTCCATTCGAAGCAAGGGGCAAATAAAGACATAAGGACATGGGACACAGGATGCCCAGAAGTCCTGACATTTGCCATCCACTGGCATATACTCACCCCCAAGGCACTGTCCTCCTTCCATCTTTGTTTTACTTCTGCTTTTAAAAATCTCACTTTCCTTCAGGGTTCATTTTATCTTTGTTTCATCTATCAAAAAAAAAAAGCGTTTAGATGCAAAAGTTGGTGTGATTTGTTTTTTCTATGCTGTATCCCCCCAGCTCTCCTCCTACTCCCCAGATGCCCATTGCGGACCAGTGGCAAACTGTTCTGTGTCAGCTGTTTAGCCTGGCTTGAACCACTTTCATGTCAATCTTTAGTAAATAATGGAGTACCTGAAATGTAATGTATTGGAGTGAAATGAACATTTTGAGATTCAATGATTGTTTACAGCCCTTGTCTCTTCTGTTGAGGAACAGTGTTTTTTTTTTTTTTTCCTCTTCATACTATTTGTTGAACTTTTTTTATTTAGTATAGGGCTAACTATACAATCATTAAGTAAACCGAAAATAGATCTTTGTAAAAATTAAGAGTGGGAATGGGAAAGGGAGGAGGAAGATGGATTGGAGTGTCAGCAAGAGGGAGGGTGGGAGGGGATGTGTCACTATGTTCCTAAATTTGTATATGTGAAATACATGAAACTTCTATAGTTTAAATAAAATAAAAAATAAAATAAAATATTACAAAATTAAAAAAATAATGGATGGATTAGCAAGGGCATGAGAATTACCAGAGGAACTTACGGAAAGACAGCTTCTGGGATTCTTCCTGGTTCAAGGGTGCAAACTAAAAGTCTGCAAACACTCCAGGTGTTTTGTAGCTCATTAGTCCAAAGTAAGTGATCAAAGAAACCCACTTGGAGAAAAGCCATGGTCCTGAGGTAATAACATGGTGGGCTTCTAGGGCAAAATTAGGAAGGACGATTCTTAGCCCACTATGTGGTCTTTGCTTTTCATTCCTTCTCATTTGCCTGCTTTCCTCACTTATGTCAACATCTGTAATTATGATTTTTGTTTGAACTAGAGGCAACTGTATGATGGTTCGACTTTGGGCTTAGAGGACTCTTATGTCTACCTATCTATTTAGCGGCTGTGTGCTTTTTCCCTTCTTCTGTTGAGTCTTGGCTGTTTCTGACCACTTAGGTAGAAGTGGTCTCTTCCTCCACTACTTTCTGTCTCCCATTTTGGACAGTGTTCATATTTGCAGAAATTATATTTGCAGAAATTAGAACAGGGCAGAAATTATGAGCAAGGTCTTTGAAGTTATATAAGCGTGAATTTGAACTCTACCTCTGCCACTTAATAAATTTTTCCCTTGGGTTACATAACTTAAGTTCAACATAATCATCTGCAAACTGGGGGTTATATAATATCTATGATATGGGCTGTTCTAAGGATTAAATGAGAATGTTTGTATACAAAGAAAGCACCTCACAGTGCATAAGTGCTCAATATATATAGGCTGTCATTATTATCATAATCATCATTATTATTTTGCGCCATTGTCTTATATTATCATTTACCTTTGATTGTGTGGACTTCTTACTTCTCCTGTGGATGTAGATTCCTTAATACATGGTATGTTATTAACCATGGGTTTTACTTTCTGTATTATACAATTCTTTGGCATGTTAAAATGCCTCACTGGTGAGGAGAAAGTGTACCTTACAGAGTTCATCTGTTCTTAGAGCAACTTTCATAATCAAACCAACCAATCTTAAGTCCAGGGCCCCAACTATCTCCCAGTATATACCCTGCCCTAATTAAACCTGGGGTGAGGTCCCAGGCAATTAGAAACCAAACCTATGGCACAAAGGCCTTGAGAATGATTCAAAGTAACCAATCCTAAACTTACTCTGCCCTACCCTGGCTTTCCTGTGGAAACCCCAGTAAAGGCTCTGGCCTAGACTTCCTCTTCACTCTCTTCTTCTGCCACCTGACCCAGACCTGGTCTTCCCCTGCAGCCCTGTGTGGCACATGATGACTCCCTCTCTGGGACCGTGAATATAATCAACTTCTTACAAGCTGCAATGACATGGCCATCGCATAGCTAACATGTATATTTTTGGAGCACACAGCTTGGATCATTCTGTACTTGCTTCTGCATTCTGGGGGCTCTCTACCCACTGCATATAAAAGGATTCTCCTCTCGGTGTGCAGCTATAATTTGGAAGGAACATTCATGGTAGATAGTCACTGATGAGGTAAAGGACAATCAATACATTTCAACTAAAGACAGCTGTGATAAAAGCAAATTGGGAATTTATTTAAGAAAAGATTGTAGCCCCTATTGGCATGTGTAAAGGTGCAAACAATTCTCCCCATTCTTTAGGATTTTGCTTCTGACTCATATCAATTCTACTGAGCAACATTAGGCAGGTTCTATTTTTGAGCAGCTTTTTGTTTAAGCTGTTATATCCTTTAACGTGTTTATCATCAGCTTCTTTTACTTTTCATTTGTGAGCTAAAAGTGAACTGTGTTTAAACTAGCAGGAAGGATTATTAATTAGATTTTCTCCTTAATCTTTTGAAAAGATGTCCTGTCAGCAATGAGGCATTTCACTGTTAATCAGAAAATCAGCTGCACATGCTGAACTGGAGAAGAGATAAATATCAAATCAATCAATTGTGCACTTGTGAGCAGCTCAGGATAAATATTGGTAGAGTTAGGGTATAAAGCTATTACCCAAAAAGAAGTTTCTATTCAATTCATTACACATTTATTGAACTATCACGTACTAGGTACTGTGATAGAAAACAGGAACATGAAGATGAACAAATATAGATTCTGAATTCAGACTGCTAGGGTTTGAATCCTGTATATACCCATAGTGTTGGTAAGTTTTATTAGCCTTCACTATTAGTAAGGGTAAAGGTCACATCTCTGTCACAAAGGATACTAGCTTAAATCAAGTAGTCATGTATACTCATGAGATGTGAGTCCAGATGAGCTCTGCTTCATGAGACCCTTCAGGAACATAGTTCCCCCAATTTTTTTTTTTTTTTTGACAGGCAGAGTTAGACAGTGAGAGAGAGACAGAGAGAAAGGTCTTCCTTCAGTTGGTTCACCCCCCAGTTGGCCACTATGGCTGGCGCGCTGTGCCGATCCCAAGCCAGGAGCCAGGTGCTTCCTCCTGGTCTCCCATGCAGGTGCAGGGCCCAAGCCGTTGAGCCATCCTCCACTGCCCTCCCAGGCCACAGCAGAGAGCTGGACTGGAAGAGGGGCAACCGGGACAGAATCTGGCGCCCCGACAGGGACTAGAACCCGGGGTGCCGGCGCTGCAGGCAGAGGATTACCAAGTGAGCCATGGTGCTGGCCAGTTCCCCCAATTTTATATAGTGTTTCCCTAATATATCGTCAGCTCTGTCTGACTGAAACTGGGTCACTACTATGTATTCAGTTAAATCCCAAGGGAAATAGTATAAGGCCAAGACTCAGAAACAAAAGACAACAGTTGGCTCACATCCTATTTGCCCAAACCGAGTTAGAAGGCCAGAGCCATCTGCAAGGGAGTCTCTAAATGTGGTCTCTAGTAGTGCAGTGATGCACCCAATTTAAACTAGAAGTGCAGGTTCTATCAGTAAAAGCACCGGGTGGAATGTTAACAATTTCTGCTACATCTCCTGAAGCTTCTGTTTCTTCATATATAAAATGGGATCAATCATAATACCCATGCCATAGGGCTGGATAAGAAAGAAAATGAGAGAATGGAAGACAGGTGTTGGGACAGTCTTTGAAACATAGCTATTATTATTAAGACAAAAATACTTAATTTCAAACACTTGAAATCCACCAATGGCGAGAATTGCTTAAATACCTCAGTAGGATTATGACAGCACAAGGGAAGGAGCAATTGTCTATAGTTGGAAAATGATGAAAAGAGGGAGCATTCACAGGCTGGGTGACAGTTGCACTAGTCCTCAAAAAACAAACACGATTTTGTAAGGCAGAGAAGGGATGACAAAATATGCCAGCAAAAGAAAGAAGCAGGATAAAGGCTTGGTACACAGAAGTAGAATTTGGCAGTATTTCTTATAGTACGGACCTTTAACCTCCTGCTTAAAATCATCTGGGTCCCAGCCAATATATAAATTTGCATATCTGGATAGGTCCTTGCAAATTGCAATTTAAAAAATCTGCTCCAGAATATAGTTATATACAACTGAGTGAGTTGCAGGGCATTGAGTTTTGTGTGGATTATGAAAACTCTGCTTCCTGTTTAATCAAAAGTTTTTCAGACAAAAAGAATACTCAGGGTTTAAAACTTAAATAAAATGTCACTATTTCTACCCATTCAGTTCTAAGGTCAACTATCTGAAATTAGAAAACATATGAACTCCAAGGTCAACTATCTGAAATTAGAAAACATATGAACTAAGACTGGCTACAGTTAAGCCTCAGTGCCAGACTGAATAATAAATACCCAATTCCATGAAACATTTCCATTTTCACACAGATTTTGCCAGCATGAAATGGTGCTGACCTTATTTTGTAGCCATTTTGATTGATGAGTAATAGTTCATCATATACAGAATTAGTAACTGCGTGCTCCCAGGAATTGTCACAAACACATAAAAAGTGTATTTTTGCTAAATGCTAATAGATACATATATAAGATGACAAAAAACAGTATAGTTTTGAACTGTTATCTTAACTCTGATGGTCTATCCCAGTAGAACTATTTTTGCTAAGCTTACGTCATCCTTCACATTTGAGTTAATAGAGATTTATTGCATTTCTTTAACCATGAGCCTAAGAATATTTTATAAATAAGCTGTGTGAAATAAACTAGAATGAGGCATATAAGCAAAACAATATATTCCGGGCAATAGATTAAATGTAGCTATTTTATAAACTCACAATAATATACCTACATAATACATGCCATTACAACTGTAGAACAAAATTTTAGAACACAATAGCTACTGTGACATTGAGTAAGTTATGCGAAAGTAAACAACAGCAAATTGAATTTGATGACATGCTTTGCTATATTAATTCTATATATAACATAATTGTACTGTGTACCAACACAGAAAGTACTGTGTTCAGTCTGCCTATCATAGAGGGTTTTCAATTAATTAGAAGCTTTGTAAATTTCTGGGCCAATACTGTGTACATTTTTTAAAAACACAGTCATTTGAGTTATAATTTTTATATATATTTTAGGTGAAAGACAATACATTTAACAGAGAAGAAAAGCTATTTAGATCTTTAGAAAAGACTGTGAAGCATTCTGTGAAGAATATTTCCTTCTGTCTACAGCACATACAGGTGGGTGAACCACGAACTCTTCAATGTGTCTACAAGAATGCATAGATTTCCTTGGTTATTGTGGAGAGTAAATGTAATAGTTCACCCAAATTATATAATGACACTGTATCAGATTTAGAAGACTACAAACCACTGGTGATGGTAGCCAAAATAATGACTTGGATTTTGCTTCTTTTTTTCCTTACCTTTTCCACCTTCCCTCAACCCAAAGCACCATACTGCAGGACTTTTGCTCAATTGCCATATGAACCATCAGCATGCTTTCTTTATAATGGAGATGAGTTCATTAACACAAAATTGCACTAGGCAGAAATCCTATTTATATGTTTGATTATTCCAGCATATTTCTTCCTAATGCCTAAAATAAATATAAAAGTCAGTCTAAAGGAAAATGAACTGAACTATAAAACAATATGAACTACAATATTCAAATTCTCCCATGTTATTAAATCTCCCCAAGGAGATTGTCCTAACCTTCCTGCAAATCACTGATTTCAACAAACCAGTTGCAGCACAGTACTGTTATTCTCAGTAGAATGGCCAGTCAGGAGATTCTCCTTATGCATCTTATGGAGGACACGGTGTCCTTAACAACATCTTGACAGTGGTTGTGACTACAAGATATAGGAAGTTAGTAAAGTTAAATGTAAATCAGTTAATAAATGGTTCCCTTCCATTTTCCAGAAGTTTTTATCTTGGATATCTATTTTTGGAGGCAGATGTTTGTACACAAAGGTAAAATATCACACCAGCAGAGGATTAAGTTGACAGGTACAATGATTTGAAGACAAGGTTCCACATTATATAAAGACAAGCAGCACTCTATTCTTATTTATTACCTGATGCAAAAACTGATTTTACAATCAGGTTTGCTAATATTTCTCTAGAGGATGCTTTCTGTGAAAAGAAAACCCAAACTGAGTTACAACAGTCAGAGGACGGTGGGAACCCATCTTTTATGTACCTTTCAGAGATAAATGCTTCTTAGAAACATCTACAGAAAAGTTTTCTTTCTTTTAAAAAAAGCTTTATTTATTTACTCAAAAGCCACAGTGAAAGAAAGAGGAAAAGGGAGAAGGAAAAAAAAAGGAAAGGGAGAGAAAGACCTTGTCCACTAAGTATTTTAATCCCCAAACACCCACAACAGCCAGGGCTGGACCAGAATTCCATGGGCCTGAAATTCCATCTAGGTCTCCTACAAGGACAGCAGGGACCCAAGCATTTGGGTCATCCTCCACTGTCTTCCCAGGCATGCTAGCAGGAAGCTGGATAGGAAGTGGGATAGCCAGATTTGAACTGGCACTCAGATATGGAATGCAGGAATGTCAAGTGGAGGCTTAGCCTGCTTCAGCACAACACCTGCCCCTACTGGAAAATTTTCTGTTTCCATTCATTGACTCAACAGAAATGTGAGCCTTTTCTCTAAAGAGTGAATCAACTTCACTAAGGAAGGCAGACAGTATAAACCAGAGAGGATTTATTTTTTAAATAAGGAATTTTAAAGAATTGAATGGCCAATGAGGAATTTAGGATACATTCTATTTAATTAAAGAGGCTCTTATACAGTCTTATGAGACAATGGCATAGGGGGAAAGTGAGGAAATTGATTACTGCACAAGTAACCTGGTTGTACAGAGTATTCCTGAAATTGTTGTTCCTTTTTATCTCTCAGGGGTAATGGAGGGTTATGATGAAGTGACACATGGATGGGTTTAGTAGTTGCCGACTTCAGAACTTGTCCTCTTTGTAACTTTGCTCTTGGGTTCCAGGATGCCATGCCCTTTGCCCTGCAGAGTGTAACCGAGCTCCAGGAAATTTCGTACAACAAAGATGAGAAGGAGAAAGGCAATTCAGATTCTTCGAGTAATGCCTCAAATCCCTGTCATGACTTTGTAAGTTATTTATATTCACAGATAAATGCAAATTAAATAGTGGAATTAGAAGGAAAGCTGCTTTTCATTTATTTTTCTGGAGTTAGAAATAAAACATGCACTATAGTAAATACTAATGTTAAAATTAGTAGATTTAAACAGGGGATTTTAAAAAATCATTAAATATTTTTAAAGTGGATTAGTGAGGATTTTACTATAATTGAAATTTAAGAGGACCCCAGACTATGTTTCTAGGGATAGTCAGAGTCTGCGCAGCATTTTAAAATCAATATTTAGTTTAAATCTTCATGCAATACAGCAAGGATTTATTAAGTTAGAAAGCTGTGATTTTTCTTAAAGGAGTCTCTGGATATGTCCCAAGTTCTTACCGAAGAAGCACAGGTAATCTCTGAGACTATGACTTTTATTAACACAGTATACACTGGAAGTCAAGCCTTCCCACTGAGAAAAGACATTCATTACTCAAGAATCGTATATGGTTCTTTCGTTTCATGGAAAAATACTGTTTTCTTTTAAGACTTATTTTTTGATTTTGAAAGAGTTACAGAGAGAGGGAGAGACAAAGAGGCAGAGAGAGAGAGAGAGAGAGAGAGAGAGAGAGATCGTCCATCTGCTGGTTCAGATGGCCACAACAGCCAGCGCTGAGCCAAGCTGAAGCCAGGAGCCAGGAGCTTCATCCAGGTCTCCCACATGGGTACAGGGGCCCAAAGCCTTGGGACATCCTCCTCTGCTTTCCCTTGCCATTATTAGGGAGGTGGATTCAAAGTGGAGCAGCCAGGACACAAAGTGGCACCAATATGTTGCAGACAGAGGCTACACAACATCACAGCTTCAAAATACTTGTTTTCTAAGAGTTCTATACAATATTGCTTATGAATCCTGTAAGTATGTCTGAGCCAATAAAATATTTGAGTGGTAGGCTAATCTGATTAATACTAATTTTAATTCGGTGCCTTGAGTTTCCATAGATATTATTATTTCATAGCAATATTTCACATATTATAAAGCAGATATAATAGACTTCACCATGTTGAAAGTGGAATTTTTCATGTTGGCATTTTGGGTCAGACAAGTCTTCATTGAGCGGCCCTTGTGTTGGGAGAAGGTTAACATTCCTGGCTCACCAGGCTGAAAATCTCAGTAAATTCACCTCACCTCTAATTATTTGTGTCATCATAAACTTCTTTTAGTTCCATTTTCCATGAACTTTTTGAGGTACTCTTGTATTTCTGAACCCTAGGATGTGACATGACACAGCCCCTAGCCCAGTAAGAAACCATGAAGATGCATCTTGTTTTTCTGGTACTGGGAACTGGAAAGTCAGGATTATACCTGACCTAAGACAACAGATAGGATGCTCAATTATAGATGGATGAATACATTGATATATGGATAGAAGTTTATGTACCACAGCTTTAATGAAAAGTATGTAAATAGTTTTCTCTGGGATTAATTACAGGGAACATATTTTAGAAAAGCTCTTAAAGGTTTTCTCTTTAGGTTATTTCCAATTCTTTAATGAAGGGAGTAAACACTTACTGAGCACCACCTGAAAGCATACCAGAATAGAGGGAAAGGAAAGAGAAACAGGAGAAATTAAAGCCAGCAGAGTGCTGGGCATTAAAATGAAGTTCATTTTCAATGGTTCAGACCTAAATCTGTTACAATTTAAGACACAGGACCAGTTTCAATTTAGTCCTTTAATGTATTTCAAGAGGAAGTTATTATGTGGTCATTACTGTCACAGGAGCAAAATTCTTATATTACAAGGGTTACTATCCATCTAAGAAATGCAGTTCCACTACCAAAAATGAACCCCTAAGAAGCCAGGGATTTAGGGGTGATGTGGAAGGAATAGGAACAGTTTCTTCTAAGACCAAGTATGTTCCTTTTGATGCAAGACATCGTGCGTCAGGTACATGATCCTGATAGTCAAAAGCTGGAGATAACCCATGTGCTCGACTAGCTAAGCTTCACTCTGAGTTAGAAAGAAGGGGAAGCAAAAGTTTTAAAGGATTTGGTGCCAATGACAAAACCAATAGCTTTAGAGAGAAAAGTGGAATTGTGTTTTGGGTGAGCAGGCTTTCACTTTCATATTCCTCTTCCTGCTCATTTTTTGGAATCAAGAGAGTTCCTGTTTTAAGTTCTTAAATAGATTTTGCTAGACTCAAAAATGATCAGACCCCCTTTGAACTTGGCTAGATGCTTCCTGGCACTCTTGCATGAAGGAGATGAGCCTACTGATCATTGCGCTGGAGATGGTGTGGGCTGTTCCTCTCTCTAACAGTATCCCTTTGTCTTCTGGCAGGCAACTCACTTACAGAGACTCGTCCTGAGCCCCCTATCTGCTCTGCTGTCCCTGTTCCCGGGGCCTCTGAAACTCATTCAGAAACGCTATGACAAACTGCTCGACTACAATAGCTACCTGCAGCGGTCAGCAGGAGATGAGTCAGATCTGGCCAAAAAGGAATATGAGGCCCTCAACGCCCAGCTTGTAGAAGAGCTCCAGGTGTTCAACCAGGCTTCCCGGAAGATTCTGCTGAACTGTCTGTGCAGTTTCATCACCCTGCTCAGGGACCTGATGCTCACGGCACAGCAGGCTTACTCCACGGTGGTGCCGGTAAGCACTGAAGCAGCACGCAGCTACACAGGCCTCCTGGGTCTGCTAGAAACCACACCCATGCAAAGCAAGCCCTGTTCAGAGTGTGCACCTGTGAGTGTAAGGTGTGGTGTAATTTATCTAAATCAGTCAGACGGTCTTCTGCCCTTTCTTTCTTTCTTCCATGGGAGAAAGACAGTTTGCTAGTTCAGGTTTACTGTGACATACATGTGTAATTCTTTTTTTTTTTTTTTTTGAATCACATTTATTTTTCCCAGTAGTTCTAGATGATTTTTTTGATTTATTTTATCATATTTGAAAGTCAGAGTTACATAGAGAGAGGTGAGGCAGACAGAGAGAGAGAGAGAGAGAGTCAGTCTCCCATCCGCTGGTTCACTCCCCAGATGGCCACAACGGCTGGAGCTGTGCCATTCCGAAGTCAGGAGCCAGGAGCCTCCTCCAAGTCTCTCACACTAGTGCACGGGCTCAAGGACTTGGACCATCTTCCACTGCTTTCCCAGGCCATAGCATAGAGCTGGATCAGAAGTGGAACAGCCGGGTCTCGAACTGGTGCCCATATGGGATGCCAGTGCTTCAGGCCAGGGCATTAACCCACTGAGCCACAGCGCTGGCCCTACATGTGTAATTCTTCATTGGAGATTCCTTTTATATTTTTTTTATTTTTATTTTTTTTAATTTTTTTATTTATTTATTTTTTTTATTTTTGACAGGCAGAGTGGACAGTGAGAGAGAGAGACAGAGAGAAAGGTCTTTCTTTGCCGTTGGTTCACCCTCCAATGGTCGCCATGGCCGGCGCGCTGCGGCCGGCGCAGCGCGCTGATCCGATGGCAGGAGCCAGGTACTTTTCCTGGTCTCCCATGGGGTGCAGGGCCCAAGGACTTGGGCCATCCTCCACTGCATTCCCTGGCCACAGCAGAGAGCTGGCCTGGAAGAGGGGCAACCAGGACAGAATCCGGTGCCCCGACCGGGACTAGAACCCGGTGTGCCGGTGCCGCAAGGCGGAGGATTAGCCTAGTGAGCCGCGGCACCGGCCTTTAGTTTATTTTAAAAATTATCAAAATATATTTCACATTGTGGTCCATACTAGAATTGGACCAAAGAGATACTTTGTTTTTTAGAAATTATTAATGTTCTGGGAGTGGGTATTTAGTGTAGCACATACCACACAGGGGTACCTGAGTTCAATTCCCAGGTCTGGCTCCTGACTTCAGCTTCTTTCAGCAGATCTCTGGAGGCAACAGTGCAAGCTTAAGTAATTGAGTTCCTGCCATCCATCTGGGAGACCTGAATTATATTTCTGGTTCTTTGTTCCAGCCCTGGCCATTATGGGCATTTGGGGAGTGAACTAGCAGATGAGAGTTTTCTCTCTCAAATAAAAAAAAAATTTAATAAGAAATTACTCATGTTTAAAAGTAGAAAAATATTTTTCATTCTACATGTGTGATATATATATTTAAGCTTTTCATTTTGAGGCAATTATAGAGATACATAGTTATAAGAAATAATACAGAGATCTTGTATACCACTTCCATAGTTTCTCAATGGTAACATCATGCTATATAAGTTACTTCCAGTTACATATAATTTTATATATAGCTATATATAGTACACACACACATATTCCTGAAAGGCAAAATTGAAGTGATTAGAGAATAGACTGTGGAACTAGAGTGACTTAACGAATGCCCACTCATCACCATATTACCTTGGAAAAATTAATTTATCCCTTTGCTTCTCCATTTTCTCATATGAATAAAGTGAAAATGATAGTATCTAATTTTTCATTTTCAATTTTTGTAAAAAACAAAGTTTATCAATTTACCATTTTTAAGTATAGTTCAGTAGTGTTAAATATATTTATATTGTTGTGCAGCAAGTATCTAGAATGTTTTCACATTGTACAATAAAACAAGTGAATCTCCATTTTCTCCATCCCTATCCCCTTGTAATCATTTCACTTTATATTTCTATGAATTGGAGTACTCTAAATATCTCCTGTAAGTAGAATCATATGGCGTTTGTCTCTTTTACTGACTTATTTGACTTAGCATTGTGAACTTAAAGTTCATCCATGCTGAAACATGTGACAGGATTTCCTTCCCTTTAAAGTTTGAATAAGATCCCATTATAAGTATACCACATTTTGTTGATCCATTAATGTGTCAATGGACATTTGGGTTGTTTTATCTCTTTCCAATTATGAATAATGCTGTTATGACCATGAGTGTGTGACGATCACTTGAAGATCCTGATGTGAAGATTTTGGATATATATTCATAAAATGGCATTGTTGTATCATTTGCTAATGCTATTTTAATTTTTTTTTAGAAATCCAAAGCCCTGATTTTATTTTTTATTTTTAATCAGTTTTGCGTACATATTAGTTAAAGATTTAGTTATTCAGGCTTAGTTAAGAAAAACAGCTGTCATCATTCCCTTCTTTCCATTTCTTCTTTCTCAGAGGCAACTTTTTTTGACTTTTGGGTGGTTTATTTTAGAATTTTAAAATGACTCATGTTGTCATTTCTTTTTTTTTTTTTTTTTAATTTTTTGACAGGCAGAGTGGACAGTGAGAGAGAGACAGAGAGAAAGGTCTTCCTTTGCCATTGGTTCACCCTCCAATGGCTGCCGCGGCTGGCGCACCGCGCTAATCCGATGGCAGGAGCCAGGTGCTTCTCCTGGTCTCCCATGAGGTGCAGGGCCCAAGGACTTGGGCCATCCTCCACTGCACTCCCTGGCCACAGCAGAGAGCTGGCCTGGAAGAGGGGCAACCGGGACAGAATCCGGCGCCCCGACCGGGACTAGAACCCGGTGTGCCGGCGCTGCAAGGTGGAGGATTAGCCTAGTGAGCCGCAGCGCCGGCAGTCATTTCATTATTTTTCAATATTAGGCATGAAACATTGCACTATGAAAAATGAGGATTTAGCTCTCTCCTCTATTTGCCCTCACTATATATATATATATATGTATATATATATTCATATTCTTTTTATGCTATCTCCAGTATACTTGGTGAGTTCATAGTCAGTGTTTAGATAGTTCTTGGTTTGCCTATCAGTCATGATTCCAGTAGGAAAAATTTAACATACTCATATTGAACATTTGAGAAAAATTTAATTAAGTCTATTTATAAATAGTAAGTATATTTGGAATTACTGCAAGCATGGGAAATGCTTTAGGAACAGTACCCAGCCCTACAGGGTAGTCAAAGAGAGGAGACTTCTGTAGATTCAAAGGAATAAGTTGAAGGAGTGGTTACAGGACTACTCTTAGAGGTGTATGGAAAGGGTGACCTGATGGAAGCTATGCCTTTTAGTCAATACTACAGAAAGGAAACTCAGGAAATAAATATCATTATCTCATTTTCCTTCCTTATTCTAATTTCCTATGGGCCTTCCTCCTTGATTGAACCTATCTGAAAGCCACAGAGCAAAGAAGTTGTTGATTCATTCTATGTTGATCAGCCTCCCAGAGTACAATAAGGAAAAGGAAGCAGATGAATTTGAAGAAAACAGATAGCCAGCACACAAAGTGAATGCTGATTAGATCTGAGACACATAAAATACAGATTACTTTTTCTTTCATCAACAGCTTTGGTTTTCCTTGACATTAGTAATGGGTATTTCTTTTATCAATACCTTAATTTTCCTTTGCCTAACTTTATACATCAATTGAATAAATTGTCTTGTAAGACTTTCCAGTGTATGAGCTGGTCTATCAATTGTGTCTTCTTGAAGGCATCTCTTCCAGAGCTTTCTCCAACTCATTCCAGTCTGACCTGGTTGCTTTTTTATGTGATAACTAACTGCAATCCTGGGATCACACTTCATCCTCATTCCTTACCTCTCTTCTATGTGGATCTCATTTATTTCCTTATCCCATACTGACTTCCTAATTACTTTATGCTGTTATTGTGGGCAGAGCATATTTTTTAGTACTCCCTTGAGAAAGAATGATTAGCAAGTAAATATATTGATGCCGTGAGTAACTGAAAATGTCTTTATAATATCATCACACTTACTTAATAGTTTGGCTGGATGTAGAATCCACAGTTCCTTCTAAATCTGAAGGCATTCTGTTATTTTGTCACGTAGTTCCCAATGTTTCTGTTGAGAACTTTAAAGTCCATTTCGATTCTTAGTTATTTGTATGTACTTCTCCCATCATAATCCTGGAAACTTACAGGATTTCCTCCTTGTATCTATCAGTTTGAAATTTAATGATGATGTATGTTGGTTTGTTGTACACCTGGCAGAATCCTTTAAACCTGAAAATTTGTCTTTACTTCCAGAATATTTGAATATTTGAATTTTCTCTCTTCCTTTATCTTTTTCTTTTCCTGGATCTTCTGGGTTGTTCCTTAGTTTATTTTTCCCACTTATTTTATATCTCTATACCAGTTTGCTCTACTTCCTAAATATTTCCCTATTTTAATCTCGAATATTTTATTTTTATTTCTGCTCTCGTAATTGTAATTTCCAAGGGCTTGTTTTGTTTTCTTAAAGTTAAGACAGGTTGCCTTTTTTTTTTTTTTTAGCTTTTCTCATGTTAAAGACATACCTGGTATATCTGATATTCTTAATCAGTTACCACTGAAAAAATTGTTGAGGACTAATTGGTAGCATGGAGCACATAGTTAGGAGGTGAAAATTTAGAGTTTCTGTATTATATAATCTAACTATCATTTCATTTGGGAACCTCTGATGATAGCATTTTTAGGTCTTTCCTCTTGGGCTGGCTAGAATATTCAGAGAAAATTATTCAAATCTTCAGACTGGAGGGTAAAAGTCTGATTTCTAGGCCTGGCTTGAGGTAGGGGGAGGTAGTTCAAGGTACAGTGTGCATTCATTCCGTTATTGGCACCTGAACCCTGTTTGTGTTTCCCAGTCTAGAGATTCTCTGTCTTACTATTTGCAGATAAGAAAACTTTATCTTCTGCAAAGTTAGGGATGAGATCATCATTCAGCTTCACTGAAATGGAGAAAGACTATAGGGATCCAACTGAATACACAAACATGGTGGTATGAAACAACCAAGGGTCACTTCGTACTGTCTCTAATGGTTTTAGGGTTTCTTTGGGTTCAGGTTGGCCTTTCTCAGTTTCTAGGGAGGTTATATTCAGCTAATAGTCGGAACGGGAGTCTGTCTCAGCTCCACATCTCAGGTTGATGATGGATGATGATGATAGAAAACTCGAATAGTTGAGAGTTGGAATAGCTGGGGTTCCAAAGACATGACATTCTTATTCATTTTCATTCTCTCTCTCTCTCTCTCTCATATTTCAATATTGTCTCTTTATATGGTGGCACATAGTATGGTTAGATTTCTTCCATGGTGGCTAAAAGCTCTCAGAGTGGGTGTCCCAAGAGAAAGGGCAGAAACTCTATGATCTTACTTAACCAAATCTTCAAAGACAGCATCACTTCCATTGTTCTATTCATTGAGTCCATCATAAGAACCCACCCAGATGTGAGGGGTGGAAACATAGACTCCATTTATTGAGGAGGAACACATCAAAGCATTTTCTGATTTATTTTAAAACCAGCAGAGTCTCTTAATCCATGCTTCTTGTTTTAGCTTCTTTCCCCTTGTCACTCTCCTGCTTCACTGCATGGCAGCGGCTATTGATTTCTAAGCCTTTGTTCCAACACTTTATTGCTATTTTGCCTCTTCTGTTCTTCTTTTATTTAGGCTTGAACCCGTAAAAAGTTATTGCTATCATTTTACTGTGATTTCCAGATATAGCAAATTAGACTATCTTTATCTAAAACTCTCAAGTTGCTTTAATTTTTTGCTGTGGAGCTATTTTAAACCTTTTAAAAACTACTTATCACAATTGTACTAACTTCAATACTAAGTAGTTATCTAGTGATCTGGAAACAATGCTTTATCATTTCCACCTTAGGTGCCCTTATTGGTCTCAAGCATCTCTGAGATTCAGAACCGAATATTAGAGGAGGTGCAAAATATGAATTTTGTGAAGGACAACAGTGTGACATTTATTGAGAGGAAACTTAGTTTTGAAAAAAAGAAGCCTGTGCAGAGTCTGGTGAGTTTGGCAGCATTTATGACAATGATAAATATTTATATGCCTTGTCCAAATCATAGTATATTATTTTCTCATCATTTATCTCATTCTAATATGCTATAATCTACTTATTATGCATAGATTTTCTTAACTATTTCTACCCTTACACTATAAGCTCCATAAGATATGCATTTTTTAAAATCTGTTTTGTACATGATATATCACCAAAGTGCCTAAATTGGTCACTGACAAAAGATAAGTACTCAAAATATATATTTTAGATAGGATTTTATGGGGATAAATAATACAGAACCACATTTTTGTTTGCAAGATAAGGTACTCCATGTTCTAAGAATAAAGTGATTTTCTCAAGGTCATTTAGTGCCAGCACTGGGATGGAGTCTATGCCTCTTGACTCTTTCCTGCCTAGCTTACCATTTCCTAGAAAAAAAGACATGCACACATATAATTTACTTAACTAAACATTAGTTAGCTTAATATTAGCTTAATATGCCAGGAACTGACTGTAAAATGGCAGGGTTGAAATGTTGCTTGGCATTCAACAGAGATTAGAACCTCTGCCTTCTTATTATCAGCTGAATTTTCTTTCTTCTCTACAACACTGCCCTCATGTGCTTACTAGAGAATTTTCCCATTGAATAACTCAGCTCTATACTTAACAATAAAAGTCTGATCTAAGCCTTAGCCTTGAAATAATGCCAAATCAGCACATGACTTCTACATCATAAGTAAATATTTACCATCTCAATGAAGATTTTATTATATATTTATCTAAATAAAAACTTCTTACTTCCAGCCAGAAGTGCCACGGCAAACTGACATTCACCGCTCCAAGCTTCTATCCACATACACTGCAGGGGAACTCTACCAAGCTAAGCGCAAGTGCAATGCTACACAAGAGTATGACATCAATCTTCTGGAAGGAGAGTTGGTGGCTGTGATGGAACAGAAAGATCCCTTGGGGAGTACTAGCAGATGGCTTGTTGACACAGGAAGTAAGTTGATTTCCAGAACTACCACCCTCCTTAGGTTGAGATTGTCCCAGGGGGCTTTTGTGTGCTTCTCTAAACACACATGTTGGGGAAGAGATACACATGACTTTGGTTCTTGTTTCTTTTTATTTCCTATCCAGTTGTAAAAGGATATGTGTATTCCTCCTTCCTAAAACCCTACAACCCAGCGAAAGGGCAGAAGGCGGATGCTGAGAACAGGTTCTGTGATGATGACTTTGATAACATCAGCCTCTTTGTGTCTTCAAGACCAGCTAGTGACAGTGTCACAGGCACCCCGGAAGGGAGCATAAGTGATAGCAGCTCATCTCTTAGTGGCATTTGTGGAAAGTTTGAAACAAACGGCACTGATGTTGACAGTTTTCAAGAAGTGGATGAACAGGTAAGAATTTGAACTTTGAACTAAAAAAAAAAAAAATACTTGGCTGATTAGATCCTGAAAAAAAAAATCTCTAACTGCACTCTATTTTTGATTGTACAGGACTTGCAAAACAGGGCATAGGAATCTTGGATTCCATCTGAGGACTCTGCCTACTACAGTACTTTATATACCTTGTTTGGCAAGCAGAATGTTGTACTTGGCACTTCTTAAAAAGGATCAGATTTAATAATGAATAAACCCCAGTTTTAGAAGACAGGTCAATATCTGAGAATGAGTACTCTTTTCTCCTTCCATATAAATAACACTGAAAACAGAATTTTTGACTTCCAAGAAGTTAGCTATTTTGTTACCAATCTAAAGGTCATGGTCTAGTCCTTGATCTTTACATTTTTTAGCTTTACTTATAATGGTGATGCTACAAGTCTAGTATGTCATTGTTTAGGAAGCACTTTGACAAGTTAGTAGGCTGTATGATAATGTTTAAGTAGTATCTATAATGATATTTTTGAGATACATTGATATAAAAAGGTTTCTAAAATTATTTAAAAATATATTCATTTACTTGAGAGGCAGAGAGAGTGCATGAGTGCCAGCAAGAGCCCTCATTTACTAGATCACTCCCTAAATGCTTGCAGTGATCAGGACTGGGCCAGCTGGAGCTGGGAGCAGATAACTCAATCCATGTCTCTCACATGGGTGGGCAGAACTCTATTACTTGGGTCATCACCACTGTCTCTGAGCATCTGAATTAGTAAAAGTCTGCAACTGGAAGATAGAAGAGGGTTTCAAACCTAGGGACTCTGATATGGGTCATGAGTGTCTTAAATGGTATTTTAACCATTAGGCTAAATGCCTGCCTTCAAAGATATTCTGAAGTGCAAAACAAATGGCAAAAATTAAATATACTGTAATTCCATTGTTACTTCAGGTAGGTAAGTGGGAGGAAGGAGAGAAAGTAAGGACAAGATATTAATAGCAGTTGGGTGGGGTTTTTTGGGAGGATGGTTTTGGTTTATCTTTATTTAAGATTGTTTCTTTATTAAAACTACTTGTGTAATAAAAACATGTATCTGTGGAATGAAGAACATGAAAACTAGGTCCTAGAGGATGAGGAAGAAGATTGAATATTTTTCATACAATATAACTATCTTGGCTTCCTAAATTACATATGATATAATATTGTAAATGCTGGTTTCGTAGCTTTTTAGTTTCAGAAAGGAAGATTAAAATATATTATGATTTTTGTTGTTAATTGGAGAACTGGGAAGAAATCAATAAAATGAGATTCAATGTAGAGAGGTAATGTGGCTCACTAAGGGAAGAAAAATTAAGTGCACAAATATAGAAGAAGGGAATGCTGAACTGGCAATGGTACCACTGGGAAAGATCTTGTAGTAATAAACAGTGGGTAATAAATTTGGAATGAGTCAATAATACAGAATGTTATTTAAAAAAAGTAAATGCTGTGAAAAGCTAGATTGTATGCACAGAATATTGTACATAAAATGAGCCAGAGCTTTACTAAATATAAAGAAGCAACCAATAAAATGTATTTTAGTAAATGTCAGCAAAAAAGAGAAAAGGATTAGATGATTATGGCTCAGTTTAGTAACATTTTAATTAATGTGTCTGTATCAAAATATATTAACATTTTAAGCTAGAAATGTGCAACCTAATACAACTAAAATATTAAAAAAATAATAAATCTTTTAGCTCTTAAATCCAGAGTAGGTTGAAAACTAACTTGTAGTCTAACATTAAAATGACAAAAACACTCAAAAAAAAAAAAAAAAAGGCTAAGAGACTTAGGGACTAAAGAGAAATATTTTACTGTCTCTTTAAAGCAGACTTCTTTCCATTTTGAGTATATAATGTATGCTTCCATTTAACATAAAAACTGAAAAATGCTTATCTGAAATACATTTTGGCAGTTCACTTAAAGTATTGGGAGTATGTTATAATTTTGTACTTTTAAATTTATAAGTTCATGAAAATCTATATTTAATGTTTATATTTTACACAGTATACTATAATGTCATACCAAATAGATCTAGGTAGAACATTTCATATTCCCCTTGAGAGAATTTGTGCTAAAGAGGAAGACTACCACAAATATTTTGGAATGTATATTATAGGAAATTCAACATACTGAAAAATCTGTAGCTACATTGGTAAAACACACACATTTTTATAAAATTACAAAAGATGGTTAGCAACTGCTAATGGAGTCCCTTACAGATTATTTTTGCAACCGTACGTGTTATAGTACATCAGATTCCTGAAAGCTTTTGCAAAACAGATTCCCCACTCCTGCTCTAATGGATGTACTCAGTGTTTTCCTTTTGTAAACAACAAAATGGCAGCAGCAACTACACATTAGACTCCCATCCATTTCCATGAGAATCTACTTTGCCCATCCTTGCAAGGACAAGAATTTGGTTCCTAAAGCATTATGATAAATGGACCAAGCACAGGAGTTAGAGCAAGAAAATATGAATCAGTTAACTCTATGGTTAACAGTAGTTTGCTTCTCCATGAGTTGACTCAGATTACTAGGGATAAAACATATTTGGCATATACCTTGTCATGAACTCTACAGTAGGTGGTTATTATTGCAGCCACACCATTGATTAAGAATTTATTCCACCTCCCTCTTTGTTTATCTTTTTACATTTTTAAATTTCAAAATAACCTATGTTTAACAAGTCTCTTATATGTCTTTCTTGTGATATCCAAGCCTTTCAAATCAACAAATATTTGAATTCCTGCTATGTATCTTGATGTGACCAGTGGAGAAAAGTTTAAATGTGTGCTTTAGTCCACTTGGGCTGCTTTAATAAATGCAATAAAAATTTATTTCTCACAGTTGTGAAGGCTGGAAGTTTAACATCACGGCACTAGCATATTTGCTGTCTGCCAACTTTCTGGTTCAGAGTTAGCACCTTCTTGCTAGGTCCTCACAAGGTAGAAGTGATGAGGGGTCTCTCATGAGACATTTACAAATAAAGGAACTAATCTTATTTATATGGGCTTCACCCTCATGACCTAATCACCTAACAAAAGCCCCACCTCAATACCATCATCTTGGGGACTATGATTTCAATACACACATTTTGGGAAATAACAAAGCTTCAGACCATAGCAGTGTGGTTCTTTTCCCTAGGGAACAACTCATGCGAATTGCTAAGACAGTATATCAACCAACAGAATCAGAATTTCATAGAAAGTTAAATAACAGTTCAAGATTTAAATAACAGTTTAAAGTACTCCCAACACTGCTCAATAGTTCTTTTCTGCTCAATGAAATCATTTCTCATAGTTACCTTTATCCATAGACCCTAAATTTTGAGAGAATTAATGTGTTTGCCTATTTTCACGTACTTGGTATCTATATCTTTGAATGTAACAGGTTAATACCTTTTGTCAACTTTGTAATTTATGAAAGTTACCTCTTTCAAAATCCATGTCACAGTTAGCTGATGGATCATCTATGTGTAGAGCTTTTGTTGTTGGTGGTGGTGGTGGTATGTTTTTGTTTGATTGATTGATTGATTTTGCTTTGCTGACATTTTTATTTTGCTAGCTGGGTTGTAAGGTCCCTGGTAAAATAATACCTGACACTCAGTAGGTACTTTATAAATTATGATTACATGAATGAATAGATGTTGTTAAGCAATTACTTAATCTTATATCATAGATAAACCTTTCATTATCAATCTTATGATTTTACTGAAAGATGGCCTAGTTAAGCAGGACATAGTTGGGGGTTTCTGATATCTAGTAATAATGAAATGTTCTTTTGAGGTAAGAGAGAATTTACTGAGATTGAAATTTTTTTACCTTCTTCTGGGTCACTTAATTTAAAAAGATCAAAAATTAAATACATTGTCAAAGACTTGAAAAATAAAAGAATAAAATAGTAGAAAGGGCTATCATCTCACTATTGAAAAGAACTCAAATAATATTACACTTACATTATACATTTAGTTTTATATCCTTTTGTGGAGGGTGCTCACTATTTCATCCCAAGCATTTCCCATGTTATTAGTCTCCAAAAAACATAATTTTTAATGACTTCACTGGTATGATGCTGTAGAGTTTATTGCCTCTTTGCTAAAACTTTAGTATTATTCCCATTTTCTTCCTACTTTTCACCTAGCATATAGGTACTGCAGTTGAAATTATGCAAAAATATCTGCCAATGTTTCTATTTTTGTAGAAAATATTCTTGGAAGTATTAGTAATTAGCATTAAAACATCTTTTAACAGAAACTGGCAAATTACTTCAAGCATGGACAGCTTAGACTCCTTCCAACAGAATCACAGAATGCCTACTCTACTGAATTCTCATCAGGGAGCGTACTTTTACAAAAATAAATCCAATAGGAATTGGGCAATGTGACTGCAAAATTAAGAAAACTTGAACATTGCTTCTAAAAGTTTAGAAATATGTGTTGTTTCTCAATCTTTTCAGCTTCTGATTCCATTAATTTCATTCACTTCTCTGTCTAGATTTTCTATGCTGTTCATGCTTTTCAAGCACGGAGTGACCATGAACTCAGCCTTCAAGAGTACCAAAGAGTCCATATACTTAGATTTTGTGACCTAAGTGGAAATAAAGAGTGGTGGTTAGCCGAAGCTCAAGGACAGAAAGGATACGTGCCAGCTAACTACCTTGGGAAGATGACTTATGCTTAAGAAAATAAGTCTGTGACTTTCATTTTCTGACAAGTTGTGACTGACTACCTCATAAAACTGACATGACAAAACTTCAGACCAGAAAGCAAGAAATCTCCAAACTACATGAACTGATACTGTATCAAGTTTTAAGGAAGACCGTACTTCCTATCAGGATTATTTCATGAATATATTATAAAAAATACATGTTGAAGGAAATACTAAGGCAACAAAAACATCAAAGCAAATGGCTCAGGTTCCAACTATCAACTACTTAAAAGTGAAGATATTTTGAAAAAGTAAATGTGTTCCTTTATCATAAAATCAAAGATTAGACGAAGATTTTTCCACTTACTATAATTATTTTTACTGTATTATACATTTCATCTTAAACATGGTTTTCATATTTTTTCTTGAATATGCACACATGCATGTACATACATATATATGATATGTTATGTTATGCAATTTATACAAATATGTGTTTAATAAAAGTCAGGCACACATATATATGAACCAGACAATACTAAATACACATAAGAATATGAACTGATTAATAGCCAACTGGAAGTTTTTGATATGGGACCTTTCTTTAACATAAGTCTTGAACAAGAAAAAAACCCTAAATAATATGATATTAATGATATCTAACATTTTCTGACTGTATACTGCATGCCATTTTATATGCAGTAACTTAATACAACGTTATGAGGAACCAGGAAGTAATTAACTCAAAACACATTGCTGTAAGTTGACTCAATCCTAGGTAGCCTAGGACCAGAGTCCATTCTCCTAACTATATTTCTCCAGAGTGTCTACATTATCTATTCGCAAAGCACTTAGCAATGCAAATAATTAACATCAATGTGAGCTACTTTCTTCTCAGGCCTATATTAAAGTACAAATTTCAAAATGCAGGGCTTCAAGGACTTCTTTACTAGCCTAAACAATATGCAGTCCCCAGGTTTAGTGTTTCCAGGATTGATTAATAATTTCTATAACTGTATGATTGTTGAAAAATTATTCTATACAACTTCTAATGATACTTCAATGAAAAAGTATTTTATGTCTCTACCATTCAGATGATGAATGGAGAATTTTGTATTCCATATTTTGAGTCAAAATCTGAATTTTTTTAGCTGCTGATTTGTACTTAGATGAGGCAAGGTAGGATAACATCTGCTTTTAACAAAATGGCCTGGGACATTGAACTTTCATTTGGGTATTGCCCAATGAACTGTCTTCTACAATTTAAGAACTATTTTTTGAAGACATTTTATTGAACTAAGGATGCTCCTTTGGAACAGAGATTACATTAAATTAAATTAGATTTTAGTAGTTTCCTTTAAAAATCAAATTAAGGTGGAAACCATTGTCCAATAAGATGTGCTAACATTTAAGATTGTTACTTTGAACAATTTATTTTATCCCCATAATGCATACTATATTACATGTATCATTAAAGAATACAAATAACAAAAGGTGCTGCTTTTCAGAAAGTAGCTGGCTGTAACACACACATGCACACACACACATACTTTTCATGTATAACCACTGACATTTACATGACAGAAGCATTTCATTTTATGATACTGCTCTCAAGGTCATTAATTTATAAATGTTTTTATAAGAGTCTACTAATAAGTTGCTTTTGCATAACCTATTTCTTGTTTTTTTGTAAATTTTACTTAAGTTATACAAGTTTCATGTATTTCTTGTTTTGATTTGGGTATTGAAAGACTCCTTTTGTTGGTAAACAAGAACTTAAAGCTTTTATTAGCAGACACTTTTGGAACGTAAGTAAATTGTAATTCGCCTAGGGTAAAGCAAAAAGAAATCCATTTACTTCTTATGAAAAATATACACATGCTCCAGAGCTGAAATAGTGGGGAAATTATACATATGTGTATATTTAAATTAGCTGTGCCCTTAATACTATCTGCAAAAATCAAGAATTATGTCAGAAGCACATATCTGCTCTTCAGGCTGAAACAAGTAACTATGTTAATATGAGAAGCTTGTCTACCTGTGTGGTCCTAGGATTGATGCTTCCTGCCTGACCTTTGAAGAAACCACACCATTAAAACCACAGTTGAAGTTAGCAGCTAAGCAAGAGTTGTAATGAAGCCACCTACTGCATGTAGTTCCCCATTATTTTGTATAAATATTAGTATAAATCTACATTGTTACTATTTTAAAAATACAATCTATATTTAATTTGCTATTCAGGCTTTAAAAATCATATAATATCCTGTTTTATAGTATTTTACATAAAATCAAGTAAATTGTAATTTTAAGGTCAGATATTATTTTATTAAGTCTAAAGGAAATAAATTCTGAAGACGGGAAATGAATAAATCTTCAAGAAGTTGTAAAGACAAAAACTTGTTGGGGCTGGCACTGTGGTGTAGCAGGTAAAGCCATTGCCTGTAGTGCTGGCATCCCATATGGATGCCGGTTTGAGACCTGGCTGCTCTACTTATGATCCAGCAGTACAAGATAGCCCAAATGCTTGGGCTTCTGCACCCACGTAGGAGACCTGGAAGAAGCTCCTGGCTCCTGGCTTTGGATTGGTGCAACTCTGGCTGTTGCGGCCATCTGGGGAGTGACCAGCTGATGGAAGATCTCTCTCTCTCTCTCTCTGCCTCTGCCTCTCTGTAATTCTGCCTCTCAAATAAATAAATCTTAAAAAAAAGCCAAGAAATATTTTTTGAAAATATATAAAAACTGTTGGTGTAGGCTGTAGGTATGCCTGTGTAGATAGTTTTACCAAGAATTAAGGGAATTTTTTGTACCCATTTTTCTTTTTTAAAACAAACTTGTGTATATATACATTTTATTTAACATTTATTTTTAAATACAGATGCTCTAAACTAATGCATATAATAAAGTTTAGAAATTGCAGGTTCATTCAATAATACAAAATTACTATGGGTTTTTAAAACATGAAAATATCACAAAGTCACCATGTAAACATTCCTTATATTTCAATTTTTTTTTTTTTTGACAGGCAGAGTGGACAGTGAGAGAGAGAGACAGAGAGAAAGGTCTTTCTTTGCCGTTGGTTCACCCTCCAGTGGCCGCTGCGGCCAGCGCACTGCGGCTGGCACACCGCGCTGATCTGATGGCAGGAGCCAGGTACTTATCCTGGTCTCCCATGGGGTGCAGGGCCCAAGCACTTGGGCCATCCTCCACTGCACTCCCTGGCCACAGCAGAGAGCTGGCCTGGAAGAGAGGCAACCAGAACACAATCCGGCGCCCCGACCGGGACTAGAACCTGGTGTGCCGGAGCCGCAAGGCGGAGGATTAGCCTAGTGAGCCGCGGCACCCGCCAACATTCCTTTTATTTCAGAAAACTTTAGCATGAAAGTTGAATAGTGTAGAAGTTGTAAAATACATTTAAATCACAGTAATGAAGCACTGTATGACAATTTTAAGTGCTGGAATATTCCATATTTATCTAAAATATAACTTGGACTTTTAGAAATGTCTATTAAATGCCTCCTTATTTATGATGAATGTAGCTTTACAAAAATTAGTGTTTTCCTTTCTGAAACATTAAACACACACACACACACACACACACCCAGAGTGCACATTCCCATCCACTGGTTCACTACCCAGATGACAGCAATGGCTGGACTGGGCCTACGCCACAGACCCAGGAAGCCAGGAAGGCAATCCAGATCTTCCATATGGGAGACAGGAACTTAATTACTTGAGCTATTACTAGATCTGTATTGTAAGAAAACTCGAGTCAGGAGCCAGAGTTGGGGACAGAACCCATGTACTCTAATATGGAACATGGGTGTCTTGACCAGTAGGCTATCTATGGCTTCTTAAGGTACTCAATACGTTACTCAACACTGAATACATGTAGACTTCACAAAACTAAAGCTGGGCTAGACATATAAATGTACATTATAGATGGTGAGGAAGCAATTAAATTTTATTGACTGGTAGAACACTGAACTTTATTTTTTAATTTTTTTTAAAGATTTATTTATTGAGCTGAAAGCAAAGTTACAGAGAGGAAGAAGAGACACAGATCCTTCATCTACTGGTTCACTCCCCAAGTGGCTGCAACAACCTGGGCTGGGCCAGGCTAAAGCCAGAAGCTAAGAGCTTCTTCTGGGTCTCTCATATGGGTGCAGGGGCTCAAGGACTTGGGCCATTCTCTGCAGTTTCCCAGGCCATTAGCAGGGAGCTGGATCAGAAGTGGAACAGCCAGGACTCGAACTGGTGCCCATATGGGATGCCGGCACTACAGGTCCTGGCTTAACCCATTTTGCCTCAGCACCAGCCCCAACACTGGACTTTATACTCTGTAGGGATAGATCCCTACTTAAAGAATCTTACTCTTTAAAAAACTATTTTTTTTTCCATTAACTTCTTTTCTCCTACAAACATACACTAATATATAAAAATACACCAATTAGGGCCAGTGCTATTGGGGTATAAAGGATTAAGCTGCTGCCTTGAGATGCTGGCATCCCGTATGGGCACCAATTTGAGTCCCAGCTGCTCCACTTTCTAGCGCCCTGGCAATGCGCCTGGGAAAGCAGAAGATGGTCCAGTCCTTGGGCCCCTGCATCCATGTGGGAGACCCTGGTGAAATTCTTGGCTCCTGGCTTCAGCCTGGCCCAGCCCTGGCTGTTGTGGCCATTTGGGGAGTGAACTAGTGGTTGGAAGAATTTCTCTCTTTCTCTCTCTCTCTTTCTCTCTCTCTCTGTCTACCACATCCCTCTTTGTAACTCTTCAAATAAACAACAATAAATATTTTTTAAAAAACCCACACTAGTTTTCTGTGATCTGCAAAATTATTCTAATATAACAAATTTTCACTTCAAGGCTACCATAGTACAAATTGAATTTCTGTAGGCCAGACATTGCTTTTACAACTTTGTATCTAGATAGATGCAGATAAGATCTGCTTCAGTTTTTCAGGAAAATAAATTATACTTTAGCAAATACTGGGATATGTTCTTTTTTAAAAATCTAGGGAATGTACTCTAAGTAAGTTAAACTTATTTTACTTAAAAAACCACTTTGGTATGTATTTATGGTTTGCTGTAATTGCTTAAATAATTTATATAATAATTGTATTAATAAAATTTTATTTTGGTAAGATGATGTATTTCCTAAACAGCCTTTGGTCATCACAATATAATTTATTATCTGTTACTAATAAATAGTACTACCATATCTATGTTAAGAATGGGAATCATCTAATCTTTAAACAAAGATACTTCTTATGGTTCTTATAAATGTTGGTCTATGTATACACACGCATATATTACCTATCAAAGAGCCATACTCCCCAAACATAAATTGCTTTTTAAACTATGTTAAAGTCACATAAAATGCAAAAGAAATTAAGATAATTGCTCTCTTCTCAACTCTATCTAAAATATATTTTCTGTGAGGGGATAGCATTTATCATTTTAAGAGTTAATGTCGAAACTGTAGCAAGTATTACTACTTTAATTCCTTGTGAGTACTGAGGTC